ACAGACAACCCCCCAGGGAAGGAAGACCAAAGCGTTATTTGTTTAGTCATGGGTATGTTGATTTTTGATTCGTATGACTACTGAAAGGAACTTTGCCACGGCCACTGTGATATCATTGGATTTGTCGTCCAGAAGATATTTGATATAGTAGGCTTCAGATTGACCCGGCTGATTTGCCAATAGTGGTTTAATCAATAGTTCCCTAGCTTGATCGTATTGTCCGCAATGCAATAAAATATGCCTCATGCAGTCGACACACAGCACACACAGATCCTTTTTTGATAAGGGATACCTCTCAGTCTGCCGTTTAACACTTCTGATGGGAAAATATTTAGTCTGGCTTTGGTGAAAAGACGCCAGTATGTTGGTACAGACAAATTTCTAAAATATGCAGGTGTCTGAAACTCGAACCCATAGTGAATTCCTACTGCTACAGATAAAATGAGACTGAGATCAGAGATCACTATGTGATATGTCCCAGAGCCTTTGCCTCAGAGATTCAAGGGTGGTATCATAGCCCAGATGGTACAGTAGAGAAGGTGGCATACCAATTAAAGTGGCTTTTCTAACCATAATTTTCATCCATGAGCTGGTAAACTCCTCATTGTTTAGGTATGCAAGTAACCGCTTCCCTAGGCCAAAGACTGAGATCTTAAGCTAATATCTCAGGGCAGCCCACCATGCTTTAGTTGATAGAGGACATTCACCTGTTTCTAAAAAGTAGTACAGTGGTACCTCTGGTTACGTACTTAATTTGTTCCAGAGGTCCGTTCTTAACCTGAAACTGTTCTTAACCTGAAGCACCACTTTAGCTAATGGGGCCTCCCACTGCTGCCGCGCCGCCGCCGCACGATTTCTGTTCTTACCCTGAAGCAAAGTTCTTAACCCAAGGTACTATTTCTGGGTTAGTGGAGTCTGTAACCTGAAGCGTATGTAACCCGAGGTACCACTGTATTGCATTTGGAACACAATTTGGAACTTGTAGGAGGGACCAGAGAAACTTAGCCTGGAAGCCATTGAACCCGGAGAATGAGCCATTGAACCAGACGTTTGGGGAGTAGAGGAGTTGAGAGACAGATTTTGCATTAAATACCTTAATGGCTGATGGAACATAATGGCCTCCCCTTATATAAAAGAATCGAAGTATAGCCATGTTTGCCTACCTCCGCCTTTTGACAGGTGGTCTGCCAATGATGTTTTCAGGACTTGGAATGATGGAATAGAAGCCCTAGGTACTGGAAGAATTTGGTCTGCTCTAGTTTGTGACTGTCTAGTATCCATTTACAACTATGCCTAGGAGTTCCAACAGTTCCCCCCTCCCCCACCATACAAGTCAGTTCCCCCAAGTAGCTATACATGTGCCTTATGAAGAAAATCAACTGAATACCAAATTTCAAAAGGTTCATAATCACATGAAGGGTGGACTTAACTTTTGGCAGTTGCATCACCTCCAGTATGCTAGATTCATGTAGGTAGCCGTGTTGGTCTGACGCAGTCTAAATAAAAAGAAAAATAATTAAATAAAAAAATGTCCAGTAACACCTTATAGACCAACTAAGTTTGTTCTGGGTATAAGCTTGTTCTGTTAACCACTGCAATTAGGACAATTGTCCAGTCATCAACAGGTTTACCATACCCACTGAGTCAATCACCCATCTCCTACTACTCTTCTGAGAAATACCCCACCCTACCCTCCCACTATATTTAAGGGTCTGGTGACTTCTGTTTCAGTATATCTGAAGAAGTGTGCATGCACACAAAAGCTTATACCCAAAACAAACTTAGTTGGTCTATAAGGTGCTACTGGACAATTTTTTATTTAATTATTATTTTTATTTCTCCAGTATGCTGTGACACACACATGTGACACTTAGGTTGGAAGGGACCTTGAGGATAACCTAGTCCAACCCCCTGCAATGCAGGAGTTTTGCCCATTGAGGGGCTAGAGTCCACAACCCTAAGATTATGAGTCTCACCAATTGAGCTATCCCTAAGATCAGCAAGAAATGAATAGGTTTACTGCAATTATATGAAAACAAAAGGTAAGTATGCCTCATCCTGCTTGTTACAGTGGGGAATGCTGAACTGGAAGTTACCACCTTACATCTGGAAGGTAAACATTAAAAAAATTTAGCTGACAGTATGCATGCTAAGAGTTGCTCACTTATATTAGGTTTTGGGCCATTCCTGGTTGCTGCTCTGTGGAGAAACCAGCTGCCTTTGGCACAGTGCACTTCAGTGGATCTCAGATGCTGCTTGTTGATGAATGCAGTCAAGCAGGACATCATCTCCCTCCCATCCAAAGGTGTCCCAGTTGGTTGTGGAGAACATAGCGAACAACTTGCGAACTAATTTGCTGTGGACATAAAATCTGTCTTCCAGTGTGACACTGAATGGTTCAGCATCTATCAACAATCTGGTGGGGTTGTAAGCCTTTGCTAAGGGACTCTATAATGTACAGGTTACAGTGGAACCTGTTTTCGAGCATCTCAGAAGCCGACCAATTCAGAACCCGAACACCAGAAACCTGGAAGTAATTGCACCTGTTTTCGAACATTTTTCAGAAGTTGAACGGCTTCCAGGGTGTTGTTCCCCCCCCCCATTGACTTTGTAGCCAGCCGTTTGACCACTTTGGAAGCCGAACAGTCTTCCAGAACGGATTACGTTTGAAAACCGAGGTTCCACTGTATTTCCATCTCTGCAACATCCAGTATGATGACAAACACTTCTCTAGTAAAAAAAAAACAACCCAAAACCAACCAATTCTAAAATCCCAAATCTGCATCCAGCAGGGGAATCAGCCATGGTTAGTCAGGTATCCTGAGTTTGATTAAAACATTTTTATTTATAAAGTGAGATATGCAGAAAGCCAGCTGTCCGCCTTAGTCCCAAGAGAAAGATGGACAAAGTTCTGAAAGTGGAAGAATGCTGCTTAAAACTAGATTTTGAATGCACTTGAGGAATGGTAGCAAGTCAGGTGGTTGTTTTATTTCTCTTGCATCTTTTCTGGACGTATACCCTCTTTTTTCTTTCTACATTTTATTTGGCGTTTTAAAAGAAAAAGTAGATCAAATGCATCCTGTGACATCTAGGCCAGTTCATTATTAAACTTTTCACCTCCTTGAGCAGATAGACTATATATTCCCAGCAATCATGTAGGTAATGGCATCAAAAGAAAATATGTCATATAATATATGTCGCTAGGAAATGCCTAAAGTCATGACTCAGATCAAACAGGGCTTTTTCAGAATTACTACTCGCCTTCTATTGCTGTGAGGATTTCCGCCTGAACTGAAAACATTTGCTAAATGATGTAATAAGCTAATGATTGCTTAATTTTTGAATGCAGAGCTCAGTGCAGAGAGGGTAACAGCTGTTGTTTGTCAAATTAACTTTCCTTAAGTTTTTTTACTATCCATTTTCCTGTTGATTTAGCATACTTAGCAGTGATTAAGCACCAAAGGTCTCCTCCTAAACCTGTTTTGTGGAGGTAAAAGCTATGCAGGAAAAGGTTAATTCTTCTTCATTGCCACAGTATTTCCCACTCCTTAATGGAATCAACTAGCACATCTCTTCTGCTCTTAAAAGTTAGAAACCCTCTGATAATGTATTCTTCTGTTTCATTTGAGGAGCAAATATAAGGGCCATTTCACATGCTAAGGCTGTGTACACACCATAAACTTAAGGCACACACCCTCTAAATCCTGGGAACTGTAGTTTGCTAAGGGTGCTGGGAATTGTAGATCCATGATGGATACAGTTCCCAAGATTCTTGGGCAGGGGAAGTATAGTGTATATGCAGCTACACAGAACCAGCCAGTAAAGACCAGACCATAAGGGCAAGTGGGGCACTGCCTCACTAACTGCAGTCTGCAGCCAGCCTCCACCTGCCACCAGCTTCCTCCTTAGCCTTAGTTAGTACAACTCAACAAGGAAGAGGATGGGGACAAGTCTTGAATTAGTAGGTTCTGCCTGTGATTAGCTCTGGTTCTACTTACTATTACTGCCCTGCCAGTCCCAGTGGACACTGGCCACTACTGGGAGTAGGCAATTGTTAGGATGTGGTCTGGGGGTCTGATCCTCATGTTTTGTGCAGCCCCATTTTAAAGTTGGTTCCCCCCTTTACTAATAGGGTGCCTTAATGCTAATTTCTCAGAGGCAAATATATGCATGCATTAGCATATGAATTTTTATGCAAATTTGTGCCATGAGCTTGTGTCCAAGCTCTTTCAGTGCCTAGCAGCAGCAGCCCCTCCCTGCACAGAGGCTATCTTTGGCTTGCTACTGATCATACACTGAAGAGGAGCTGCACCCCTTTATAGCTTCTTGGCAAGTGGACCACCGGACTCTAACGTGTGTTTGGAAATGCATTTTATCACTTTAGTCGTTTATATTTTCCGATGTACACCTAAATATGTAACGTCTGAAAAAATTCACTGTTGTCAGCTGTTCAGTTGTTCTACTGGATGGTGAATTATTCTGATTTGTTTTTAGGGTTTTTTTTGTTAATTTTAATTGTAAACTTCCTCAAAGTCTTCTGATAATCAATATGTTAACAGATTTTTTAAAATAACAGATCATTTATTATAATAGATTTATTTATATTATGTAGAAAGCAAGGTGCAAATATGTTGCATGCAGTTCCCACCTTTTCTTCCAAGGAGCTCAAATTGTTTCATAGATGAGCAATGATTTCAAACTGAGTCTTCTGTATTCAAACCAAACTCTCTATCCACTCTTCAGCATCTGGTGATTGAACCCCATATCTGATACATATCTGATACATACTAGGTTGTAAAGGTTTTCCATGGATTACAAAAAAAGGGAATATCTTAACCATGTCAAAGAGATGGAGAAAGGAACAGCTTTGATAGAATCTTTCCTTTGACTCCTCTGGGACTTCTGCAGGATTAGGTTGCTGAGTGCATGATTTTATGTGAATGTCAAAAAATTTCAATGTTCAATGAATATAATGCAAATCATACTTGGTTTTCTCATAGGTGGGTGCCTTAAACAAGCTGGCAGTAACCAGACCATTGCATTTGCAGCAGCCATGGTATCAGTAGATGCAGATGCCCCTCAGGGACCATCGACAAGTATCCAGCCATGTCGTGTGCTAACTTTGTCACCAATCAAAATACCAGTTTTGACATCACCTTTCCCAGGTATGATCCATTTCCCTTATTTATCATTGTTAAACATTAAAAAAATATATCTGTGGTTTGCAAATTGGTAGACCAAGATGAACTACTACATTGTAAAGTTCCTGGTTTAGGTTTCCAAAGTAATTGTGGTGGAAGTTGGATACTGTAAAGAACATTGGAGCATTTCAGCTTTGAAGTAGATCCTGACAGAATTTTTTCTAAGAAGCCAAAATTGTTCATGTGCAATTGCTTAAGCTTTGTCTTCCCATTTCTCCTATTCCCAATAATGGCCCCACATTTTGAACTCGTTTTGGGGGCATCCGTTTTGACATAGCCATTTGTGCTCATTGGTTGCTTGAACTGTATGATCCTTCAGTGATTTCTAGAACGTTGGTGGTGTTTTGATGACGTGTGACATAACATTGCTATTGGGGTGAGCATGGGGACAGTGCATATGAATGAGACAATGCACATGATAAGTTTCACTCAAAAGTTGTGTCTTTTGTATGGAGTTAGGGGCCAGAGCAATCTGCTCTGCATGTAGACAGTTCCAGGTTCAGCCTCTGACATCTCCAGGTAGGGATGGGACAGAACACCTGCTTGAAACCCCAGAGAGCAGCTGCCACACTGTGTTGACAATACTAGACTAGATGGACCAGGGTCTGACTTAACAAGAGGCAGCCTCTGCATGAAAGCTATAAAACATCAGCCTTGCAATCTGAATGACAGACACATTCCCTCTCTCTCTCTCCCTTTCCCTCTCCCTCTTATGCATTTATTACTTGAAATAAGCTCTCAGAATGACTTACAACAGTCAATACAAAATATCCTTATTTGGCCTATCACCCTCATTCCATGTTAACTAGTAAACATCTTCTGAGGACTTTCCAAGGGCAAATGAGCTGTTCTTTAATCAGTGCAGGAAAAACAGCAGCCTCAAATCCTATCACGATTTCTGCCTCCATCCTTTTATGCATGAGGCTCCTTCCATATCAATGGAGAAGCATTCCAGTGAGAAGCAGTTGTCATACTAGATGCATTTTTAATGTACAGCTATTATAGCATGTACTCCATGTGAACTACCTAAGGCTTGATAGAAGATTATCACAGCAGAAGAGCTCTTCCATTTAGATAACTGGCTTGGCTTTGCAATGATAAACATGTCAGGTTTCGACAGCAGTTGTTTTCCTCAGGAAAATAAGGCAGATAGGATATCAAATGGCATGTTAGGAGTGCCTAAGCAATAAAACCATTATCAATCATGCACAAGAAATTGCATTATTCATAGATATCCTCTCCTGCAGAATGCACAATAGGACTTAAAAAAAAAATGAAAACAGATACAGCTTGGATTGTGTAAACACCTCTGACATCAAGCACCTTGTTTCTTCCTGTCTTCTGGGTCACACTGCACTATTGGTGATCTTCTGTAAGAGATGGAAAACTACAGGTGTGGGTTGAAGCCAGCTCTCTTGTCTATCTGGAGTATGGTGGTCCATTGAAAACTTACCTGAAGGCCAGATCCTGTAATACTAAGAGCTAATGGTCTAGGCTGGGGGTCCCCAAACTGTGATCTGAGCTTTGTTCAGGTGGTCTAGGATGTGTGTGTCAAAATACAATTAAAAATCACATAGCATCTAGCCTAGTGCATTAGACTTACTACAATGTACAAAATAATAATAATTAAGTAGTCTGCCAAGACTTTCATCAATTTTCACATGGTCCATGAGGAAAATAATTGGGGAAGCACTATTGGAGGCCATTGGACCCTTGGCAGGAGTTTGAAATGACTGTACATGTGGACTCTCTGCCTGTGACCAATTATTTAGTTGATAATGCTCAGTTAGGAGATCTGATCACTGCAGTCCATATGGCTTTGGTTAATGACCCAGATTGGCACCCTATCTTACTATGTCTCTTGAAACTGCAAAAAGTCCACAGTGCAGCCCTGAAAAAGATATACCTGGCCCCATCCCCCCCCCGAGTTTGCTTCCCACAATTCCTATTTGGTGCTACAGGAAGGAACATGGATTATGGGAAGCTTCCTTGTGGGCATGCCTTCTGTTGCTAATTAGGTTACAACAGTTTCATAGAGCAGGAGGGAAATGCTAATTACTTAAGCTTGTAAATAAATCTTCCATAGCAAAGCAAACATGGGATACAACAATAGCTGTCTAATTAAACAATCAACTGAAAATCATGTTTCCAGGATGCATGATAGCAGTAAATAATTGTAAACTGAGGGTGAGTACATATGACTATTTACCAAGATATGTTACTTGGTGAGGTGGTCACCTCTGTTGTAACCGCCTTCCTGGCTGTGAAGAGAATTTCAATATTATTATTATTATTATTATTATTATTATTATTAATTAAATTTGTATACCACCCTATACCCACAAGTCTCAAGGTGGGTCACAGGATAAAATCAAAATATAAAAACACAAAATGCATATGTCTCCTGTGCATGATCAGAGATTGGGAGGGTGGGGGGAGCAACACCAGTGTCGGGAAGGCAACTCAACCTCACTGCATTCACATTCACATTCACCACAGCCATCTAGTCATGGACAACTTAATGGTTGTATTATTGCAATGCATTTTTTTGTGGGGTTGCCCATGTTGATCTGGAGGCTGCAGCTGGTACAGAACATGGCAGCTAGGTTGCTTGTGGGGGCAAACTACCACCAGCATATAACACCTGCCAATTTGCTACCCGGCCCAAGTTCAAGGTGTTGGTGTTAAGATATAAGTTCCGATATAATTCAGGACCAGGTTACTTGAGAGGCTGTTTTATTCCTTATGTACCCATTATATCACTATGGTCTGTGGGAGAGTCTCTTCTGTGAGTTCCAAACATCTCAGAAGTCCATTCTGCAGTAACTCATAGCAGGGCTTTTAGTGTGACTGCCCCTGTTCTGTGGAACAGCATTGTTTTTGAAAGATGACGTGCATCTTTGAAAGATGATCTGCACTTTCTGTAAACAGCTGAAGACAAATAGGTCTTCACTATGAGTGATCATTTGCTAGGGTTTTAGTTTTGTTTTAAATGCTATTTGTTGTTTTTGTGTTTTTAACTGTTTTTAATTATTTTATGTGTAAATCGCCTCAAGACAGTAGTTTAGAAGGCAATGAATAAATTAATTCTAATAACACTAACACTGACAATAATAATAATTCACCAGAACCTTTGGAGTATGTGCAAATAGGTTGAAATTTGAGGGAATCCTGAGTTTAAATGGATTAAGCAAGAGCGATACCTGGTAATAATTAATATGTATGCATAATTTTGGCCCTGAAACAAATGTCTAATTGTGACTTAATGCTACTTCAGAGGAAACTCTTCTTATAGTAAAATATGTGGAGTACCCATTTCCTCCTGAAAAACACCTTAGTCATGATATTTTCCCATTGAACTGCACGGTTGACAAGATATTAAAGTTAAATTAAAGTTCCTTCCCCGAAAGGTAAAAAAAATGGTCAATTGGTCAAAAAGTAGTACTCTGCTGTCAAGAACAAAATTACATTTCTGTTTCTCTACAGAACTTAATGATTGGGAAAACATCAAGGAAGCAAATAATCTAATATAGAGCTAATCCCATGTGTAAAGTATATTTTACAGCCAGTCTGCCTTTCAGTTAAAAAGATCAGTATGTCGACATTTATAAAGCATGACTTATTGCCCTCAACTCCTACCAAAATAAATCTTTGGAAGAAGAGTGCCATCTGCGAACCCCAGAGATTATTGTATTTTCATTATCCAGTTTGCAGAATAATATGATAATGAGCTCTCTTTTCATATTTGCCATCCATAAGCTTTAGAGAGGGCAATCTAATCATAACAGAAACAAACAAAATGGAGTAATATAAGAACCTTTCATTTAACACTACCACCGTCCTGTTTTTGCATAGCAGGTTAGATTCTGAGGAAACAGTGTTACAGGAGTATATTAAGCAGTTAGGGGTTTGCTCTCCTGTAGTGCCTTGAAAGAAAACAATATTTGTTACTTATATATTTGCTTGTTAGTTAATGGTACGACTCCATTGCACATCAAGGTGGTGGTGGTGATGATGATAGAATTCCAATTGCAGTTGTTGGCAGCTAGACATGTATTAATTGTTTTTGGATGTGGATGTGAAATCTCATTTGTATCGCAAAGCATATCCAGTCAGTTTAATTGGGCTTGGGTGAGCATTGCAACATCAATGTCATGGAAACAGATGCACATCTGTGTCAACAACTGGCACCAGGGGGCTTCCTGCCTGCCTCTCTCTTGCTCAAATGGAGCATGTTATAATAGTTGATAATAATGTTATGCGGAGACCTCTGGCAAAGGCTTTTGAGTCGAGGGGAGGAGGGAGGGTTACAAGGTAGTGAGTCCCGCAACACTCTAGAGCTAACGGTGTGTGTGTGTGTGTGTGCGTGCAGGGGACACCATTCTGTTGGAAGCTGCCCAGATTGGCTGGACCAACCCAGTCATGGACGGGGTATAAGTAATACATTATTTGTTTGTGTTTGTTAGGTTCTGCTAGTGCAAGTCTCTTGCTCTAATAGAATGGGAACATTAGATACCACTACCACTAATAATGTTGTTAGTAACAAGTTTTGATTATTACTTAATGATGATGATGATACACCATCTCCACCCATCAAGAGGAATGTCTGTGTTGAGGTCTTCAGGCAACCTGAAAGAGGAAGTTTGTAGTGCTGTTCAGACTGGGAGAGGGAGGAAGAGATAAAGGATGCTTTTATCTCCCTCCAGCTTTTCTCTACCATACATATCGTGTTAGAGAAGCACCAGCCCCACATCAGAACATTTTATAGCTGTATAAGCACAGAACTAGCAGTTCTTGAGAGTGAGAAGGGTATTCTTTCCCCAGAGTTTTCCCATTGTTATTAACTTCACAGCATTCAACCCTCTCCCGGCAAATTTTAACCTCTCATCCAGCTTCATAAGCTATCAAAGGCACATCTCCATTTTCTGTTGGGGGGCTTGTTTTCAGCAGACACCCTAATGTCC